GACTGTTTCATCCCGTTTTTAAAGATTAACAAAAGCTTCAAAGAGAATTTGAGGCACCGCGTTGTTGCGCATGCACTTTCGAATTTTCGGCATTCGCAGTTTTCATTTTTAGGTTTTAGGCAGACATTATTAAATTTTCGAACTTTTTCCTCTTCGTCAAGTTCATAAAGTTTTCACTTAGGCTTTCGTTGCCCTAGAGAGTAAGCCAAAGAAAACATTCGCCCGCAATTATTAATTTGGGAGCAATATAACTAATAAGCTTACAAATAATGCAAAAAATGACATTTTCTCTTTTACAAAGCTCACAAATTTTAATGAAAATAAATTTATATATGCTACGCATGATCCACCAGCCTCAAAATAAAAAGAAGAAAAAATCGGTGAGCTTTTCTCCACATCCGCCGGTTTTGCGGTGAGCTTTTCTCCGGTGAGCTTATCTTCGGTGAGCTTTTCTCCGGTGAGCTTTTCTCTGGTGAGCTTTTCTCCGGGATTCGTTTCTGCGGGGTAGGGAGGCTGCGAGCACGAATCCGTAGACAAATTTAGTCACGAAGCTTCCGTGAATCGTCCCGTGTCAATTACCCATTATCAATACTATTTATTAATGCAATCGCGTGAAGAGATCTTTAACCTACTGATATCAGTGCATGGCGACAACTTGGGCGATTTTTTGAAGAGTCTTTCGTCCGTCGGTGATGAACTACTCGTAGAGGTTAGCGTTGAACAGATCGCAACGTTTACGAACATTGCAAGCTCTGGGTGAGAACATATCCACTATTCACTCATTCAGCTGCACGGCGATCTGGCTCGAATGCTGCTGGTCTAGGAAAGGATTGTCGAGCCGAACACCACGTAATTTCACATAACACCGAACTTGGCGAACACCACGTCGCCCATGCTACGCTAGCTGAGGTAACCGCCATCTTGAAACTGGTGCTCTCGCTGAGCCCAAGATCTCTCGAGAGATTTCCGCAAAGCTCGCTAGCCCGCAGCACAAAATCTACAGCGTTGCTTTCGTGCAGAATACGCTGGCCCTTTTATTGCGCTCTGCTCAAGCGCAGTCCCGACACTCAGTTTATGTCCTTACGCAATGCTTTAGCGTACGGTTCACTGAAACTGTCTATTACTCCCTTGTTTTTACGATAAACTCAAAACCACCTTTAGCGTGCGAGTGGCCAAACATTTTATAGTCCGAACCGGCCGGACTACTAACTCTACAGGGGTGTAGCCTTGTTACCTGGAATTCACAACGCAGATGAAGTTATTAAAATGAGGAAAAAAAGGTGGTTCGAAGGAAGGTCATTGCAAGGATACCAGGATGATCTCCTACCGCAGAGCCTCCCACTCCTTCGCGTTAGCAGGGCGAGCGCTGGAAAGGATGCCAGTGGGGAGGAGGAAACCACCAAGCTTATGTAGTAGACAATTTGTGGGGTTCTTTCTTATATTGCAACAAGTTCCGTGCAGACAGGTTCGACACCGTCGTCCCGTCTCTCTACCCTGAATGACTAAGCACTTTTAGATGTGCCCTCACGGAAAAACAGGGTTCATTTCGAGCAGACGCCTTTTGTAAAGCAGGATTTTTTTTTTTTTCATCGGAATTTTTGTTGGTATAGTTGGGAGTAGACGATGAGTTCAAGATAAAAAGAGATGAATAAACAAACATAGAAGACTAACACAACCACATGCGATCGCTGCGAGACGCACCCTTTTCGCGTACCACCTTTCGGGGGAAAACGTTTGTATCTGTAACTATATTTCGCGATACTTTTTTTTTCATTTTTTTCAGAAGAAATTTAGGAATATATAGTGTTGTAGGCGTCACACGAAAGAAATTAAGTAAATACGTTACTCAGGCCCATTCACACAGTTGCGATCGGAGCTACCACTACGCTTGCGAACGAATGCAACCGGTTGGAACGACCAGTTACCGTAGCAACGAAGCGCCAAACGGTCGTTGCGTTCGTGTTCGTTCGCAACGCAAGGAGTTGAACCGAGCTGAACTTTTTTGTTACGTTCGGAAACGACCGCAACGACAGACCAATCACAGGTCGAGGAGGGCTCGGTCGCGCACGCTGCATGCCGGTCGTGCCGGGCTCTTCCTATCTGCAGCATAGCGTCGGTGGTGATCGTCAACGTAAACGGTGTGGTGGAAGCTCATCGTTCCCCGTAAAAGCTCTATCCTTGACTGTGAATTTTTGATGTGTGTCGTTATGATAACCCAGAACGCACTAGAAGGGAAGATCCACCTACTCGTGCGGTGATCTAGTGGGGGCACTCTCAAGACAGCAGAAACGCCCGTGCGGTCGTGTTTGTTTACTTCGACTACTGTGGTACTTTCTTAGCATTTGTGTCCTCGAACATCGCCCGGGTTTCTTCTTTGGCGCATTCCATGCAAGTGCTCAAGTTCAAGGTATTACTGGTGCGTACCGTATGAAGGATGCGAATTTTCACGCGTTTTCATAACCCGAGGAAGGTGATTAGTGTTAGCAATCCTGAACGCTCGCAACGTCTATCTGATCACGAATATATCTATATATATATATATATATATATATATATATATATATATATATATATATACGTTGCTGTATCGCTGCTAAGATTACATTATCTTTTATGATCGTAGAAAAGGGTGTGGTGCCATTTGTACTGCTGCCAAAGTCGTGTATTAAAGTCGTGATCGTGCAACACGGCGTCCAGCATTCTTTTCTTTTTTTTTTTTTAATGCGATACTCTGCAAGCGTATCCTGAAAAAAAAAAAGAAATAAGGCTTGAGGTCATAGAAGACGGTCTGTCTATTTTTTGTTACGCAAGGGAGTGGGAGCGCGTCCCCTTCTTTTTAGAGGTGCCGCTGAAGCAGCTGACGGCGGCGGAGAGGCAGTCGCCCTTCTGCCGACCCGCTGCGCTTGTTGCAGAGGTTGCAGGAGTCTACGCGCGGCGCAGAGCGGTCGTTCCGGTCACAACGGACGGAGTCGTGGATAACGGGTTCGTTTCAGACGTCTGAACCAGCCTTTACATAGCTATTAAAGGCGCACAGCAGATCTTCGTGACTGTACGCCGTAGCCGAAACGTCCGGCTGCTCCGGTGAGGACCTCGCGTCGGGCACGACACCGTCCGCCATGTTGGTAAGCGTAGCTGGGTTGCTCATACTATTGGCTAGGGGCAAGAGCTTGACCTCGTTTCTCATTGGCTGTTGATTCGTGTGGTTGCATGTGACTGCATGTGCGTGTACAGGTCGCGCAGAGTTGTCGTTGAAGTCGCAGCGGTTGCCTTCGTTCGTAAGCATAGTGGTCGCTGAGTCTAAACGCAAATGTGTGAACGGACCTTTACTCGTTACTCGCAAATAAAAGTAATGCGTTACCGTCCTACGTTACCTTAGAATAAAAGGGATGCCTTACCGTCACCGGTACCAATAAAAAGTAACGCATGTTACTTTTGCGTTACTTTTTATATTATAAATAAACACAATAAACAATTTACACTTTTGATGTTAGAGGTATGCATGAGCCGCATATTTTGACAAGTGTTATGTCCATTCAGAAGCTGAACATAATTTATCTTTATTACGGTTTCACCTAAATACTCACCAGCAAAATGAAAAGAACTCCAAAATTCACATGGAATGACGCGTATGAAAACAAATTATTAAAGTGTAATTTTTTTATTATTTGAAGAAAAAGTAACTACGTTACACGTTTCTCGAAATAAGTAACTTAATTACGTTACCAAATACTGTTTTACCTTTACCGGTAAAGCCGTTACTTGTGACGTATATCCCGTTACCTTAAAAACAAATGTATCGCAGTATTTGTAATTTAGCCTTAAAATATTTGTATCTCAATATTTGTATTCTAATTTTTTTTGTGTGTGTATTATATCTGCATAGCTGTGGCTGCAAGAGAATTGTACATTTTTAGTACAAGTTGGCGCCAAATGACAAGTGGTCCAAATTGCGACATTTTGAGTTTTGCGCCATATGTATCCCAACATGTGATTAATTGTATACTTTACTGACATGTGCCGGCAACCGTCCGCTTTACTACACAGGATATCTGCTACAGTTGATGGAAACACGCCGGCGAAACGGATCACATTTACAATCACGGTTCGACGATCGATACCAAAATGGGTGTAAATTCTACAATTCCGTGTTTCCGGTGGAGTGCAGCTGTGTTTGGATAAGTTAGCGTACGAAGATAATCACTTAATCCCTTTGTTTGTATGATAAGCTAACTGTGAAAAAAAGAATTAAGTCGGGGTTTTGAATGCTATGACGATAAATTGTTTAAATAATAATAAGTTCACGAGACAATATCGCCACGAGCAGATATAAAGTTTTTTTTGCGAGTTTCGTGTTTTTTTCTTAAGGTATAGCTGCTTTCTCTTTTATTATATGGAATAGCCCGGACATACAACAAAAAAACAATGACTAGATATTTATGGTGCGACAGTGACACGAAGAAAACTGCAGCAGTGTGCATTCGCAGCGTCACTATATTTGGTCCGCAGCTAAAGCCATTGGGATACATATGAAGGCTTTCCAAATGCATGCAAGACCTCCATTAGGGCACTTAGTTTCCCAGAGTATTTTTTATCCCGTGGATGTCCACATCTATTAATACAATATACTTATATCATGATTGGTCCTCGATCTTGCTGCAGAAGAGGTATGCAGGTGAGCCATCTGGTGACCTTCCGGGTGACATACATCGCCAGGAACATCACCGCCACACGTGTCGTGTGTAATAACCCCAACACACGTGTCTATCTTAAACTGGATATTAGTCGACTGTAATAAGAGCATGTGGCTGTTGTTTTCAAAGTTAGTGTTTGGCTTAGTGATAAATCAAACGTCAATTCTTTTCGCTGCACCATCCAGTCGTAACAGCCCGCGACCCGGATGTGGGACACACACGTGGCCGCTAGGCTTTTCCCTATATTAATACTGACATATGTGGTCTTAGCTCCGACTCATTTTAGCAGCTTTCAGATAGGGCTTCACCATGATGGTCGAGAACATGACAATTTTTGTGGCCTTTCTGGCAATTGGTAAGTCTCTAACGATGGTTCCGATATGCTGTCGCGCGAGGGCATTAATACGATTTAGGGATACATGCACCCTGCAACCAAGAATGTTCAATTTAGCCATGTCCCTAATATTTACCCTTCAATTAAGGTTCAAATAAGTTTCTCATTCTGAAAGAAAAGGCGCGCGGATGAGATGGGAACTGGATATAAAGGTTAATGACTTCGTTGGCAAACGTAGGTCGTTGTTACGTTCCTACAACATAGCTGTCCAGCATCGTGGTCAAAATAATAATTTCTCGCTCCCTGGTTAGCTGTCGGTCAGGAATCACTGTTGCGTAATTCCGCATCAGTTGAGAGACATAAACTAGACCATTCCAGACCAGAATAACGACTAAACGATCATAATATGTCTCATTTGAAAGTGAGCATATTGGTTGCAATTACCCAGTCTGCAAGCATAACCACTAAACTCAAACAAAACGCCATTTTTTGAACCTTTTAATGTTTACTTGCTCTTTCAGTTACGGTGTTCTCCATGGACAACAGCGAAGCCCACGCGAACAAAGGCGACGAAAATGAGCCTGATGGGTCACCCAGCCAGGCCGAGTGCCAATCTCTGGGACTTTCCGGTCGCCTGGGTGTCGTCACGGGGGGCGCCAGTGGGATCGGCAGGAGCGTCTGCATGGTACTCGCTCGAGAGGGCGCCACCGTCATTGTGGCAGACAGGAACAGAACGGGCTCCGATGAAACCCTACAGATGCTACAAGGTCGGTCGGATCACTCACCACTATCTTTATTAAATGAGTTCACGGCAAATAATTTTTAAACGCCCACCTTACGGAAAACCGAAATGAGCTTAGGTTGTCTTTTAAATTTAAACTAGGTTTTTAGCATCGCAATAAGCAATTGTCGGAAGTTAAGCTGTGCATATGTCCAGTTAGGCATATCGATTGCACCCGAGAAAAAACAAAACAAAAATGTTCCGACATCTGTTGGAAATGCTTTGCGTCACTACATATTCCTGAGAGCTAATCTGTGAGCTTTCGTATTCGTTTTCTTGTAGCGTATTCTTCTTGCCTATAGTGGAGGAGACGAATCGGCGAGAAAAGTGTATTGAAACGACTGATAAGAGTGCGTTTTATTTCCGAGTAGGGAAATATGTAATCCGAGCAGTTCTCATCCTAAATTATATCAAGAGTTTTGTTGAGACTTAGGTAGGACTTGCTGAACTAGAATAAATATGCACATAAAGAAAATATCATACACACCTGTTCTTGTTCAGCTGGCCTTACCTGAAGTAGAAACCAACTAGCTCAGTTTAAGCCTGTTACATTTGTTCAGACAATCAACGAGTTGTGCACTTGTGACGAAAGTTAATGACATCATGGAAAGGTTTAATTTTGAGATAAGATTGCGGACCCTATTCGTTCGCAAATTTTGTTGCATAATTATAACTCGTGAGCAGGAACACACTCTCGCAATTAAAATGGTAACCTGAATCATGAAAGGAAGTGACCCCTGAAATCATCAAAGTATTACTCAATGCCAAAAAGATGCGTTTTTGATATGACCAAGTTGGTACAGTGTAAAAAACTGTTAAAACATAATTATACAAAGTAACGCGCACTGAGAGCACACCTGGGGATATCATGTGTTCACTCCTAAATCGCGGTTGCATCAACGTGGCGGACAATCATTGCTTCGAAGGTAATTTTCTATTCTCGCGCTGCTACTATATTGCAATCCATCTGCCTTCACGCGCTTGTACTCAATGGGTAAATCATTGAGATTGGTTGCGAGAGGTCGACGGGAAGACAACGTACAAAAAACGGTTGGCCCGAAAAACTGGATCGGCGCTTGAACATTGAGTTTGACATACGCGTGAGTGATGTAAAGCTTAATGTCTCCTTACGCCGGCGTCGTGGACATTAAAACATTTTAGGAAGACGACCAACACTCTTGTCAATTGCTGACCGATTGTATTTTTCCCGGAGAGTCCTTTTTCGGCCGTTTTTACAGGCACGCGCCGACAGTGCCGAAGATTTTGGTATTGCACGATAGGTGTAGCGCCCTAATTTTCAAAGTGTAAGTTGGACACCCAGGAAGGATGATCGCTGTCCGCGTGTGTTTGTGCACCACAGCTCAGAGCACGCAAAGCGAAAGCTTGGACTGCTCAAATTGGGATAGAGAGTGCTTGAATACGGCGTAGTGCTGAGACCGGATCAGTGGCACAAGGCTCGTGGTGACAGGTGTCGCAGAATAGATAAATGGGCTAGTTGGTACATCACTGAATAGAAAGCGCCGCATCAACAAGGTCTCTGTCCCCTTCCTTGTCCTTGTTTATTTTTTACTTTCCATTCAGTGACAGATGTCGTATTGTAAATTTACCGGTAGGGTGTGCGCGTGCGCGAAAACGATGCTCGTTTCTTAATGGCATCTGTATAAATGTTTTGAGTTCTTTTCCCACACGTCTCTTGCGCCAGTGTCGTTTGGAATGCCGAAAAGCAACGCTGTAAGCTCAACCTTCACGTGTTTGTGGATCGTTGGGGTGCGGGGCAGGCGGGGCACACGGCACCTGGTTCGTCGTAGTTTTGCTGGCGCTAATTCGATGCATCACTTATGCGTTGACCATCCTCATAAGTGCCGCAACGCGCCACATTCAAAACTTAATATAAGGGAACGCACAGTGCAATAAATTTGATTGCAGCTCACCATGAGGGTACGGCGATGTCCCAGTGCACTGACAGTCTAAAAAACAGCGCAACAGCGCTGTGGACGCATAAAACAATTTTCTGCTTACCTTGTAGGGTTACTCATGGTATATTGAGGGCTGCGTTGCGTGGGTTCTCTACACACACAAGCTCTTGTGCTCTGATTGCCGGGTCGCTCCGGTCCCAACACAACCCCTTACGTTAATGCACAGTACGCAAAAATCGCTAGTTCAATGGCAGTGCCTGTTCGATTTGATCTGGATGATAATCGAACCGGCGTGCGGTCCTGTATCACCACGGCATCATGTACGTTAAACCCTCCAGATTAGCAGCCATACTTCAATTATCGAATTTTCCATCGACAGCAGATGGACAAGCATTCTGCTTTCTAAAGGTTGATGCAACACAATTTCGTTCTTGAATTTCTTTATATTTTATTGTCACCTTCTGATTGAGGTGAGCAAAATATTGCTACCTATTGTAAGTAGCACAGTTCTTTATGAAAAATGTGGATGTTGTCTGGTAATTTAAGGCCATGAATGTTCACAAAATCCAACGGATGTTCAAACTTGATATTTCTTATCCAGAGTCTGAAAATTTTGGCCCTAAATTTCCAAACAAGTGCCAGAGTTCAAGATCAATGCCCGGTGGTTTGGACGTCGTCTGATATCTGTGGGACTGAGTACGCAACCAAATGACAGATTTAGTCTCCACTGCTGGATGTTCAGTTTAAAGCGGCATCCTTGTCCCATTTCTGGAACTTTGGCCCTTACTTTGCACACAAGAAAAAAACGAGACACGACATTTGATAAGCTACTTAGGACAAAAGAAAACTATAGAGTGCGCCCAGTTGAGCTTCCCATTAAAACGAGCAGAAAAAATTGACACCCGTACAGTCGGTCTCGCACTGTAAATCAATGCAAAACAAAATCATGAATGAACAAAAATTGTTTGATTTAAGTCAGAGTTGTTGCAGTTAGATTATAATTATAAGATTTGAATCAGAACAATTTTACTTAAATTATTGGTAAATAAATAGTGATTCGTAATCAATATATACATTTTAGAATATGGCAGACTGATTGTTGGATTCATCCAATAACTAAAACCAATGCGGGAAAAATTTTTACTCTAAATTCATAGTGGGGGTCAATTAACAACTTTATTATTTAAATCTTGCGGTAGTGTAGAAAAGGTAGCTTTTTTGTTTTAGTTAGTAAATAAACTTTATTTCCTTTTGCTTTCGCGTTGTGACTTTTTTTCAATAAAATATTACTGACATAGCTCTCGTTTTTTCTCGTCAATTTCTTATTTACATTTAATAAGAAGTTACATAACTGACAAACGGAAGGAGAGTACAAAGAAAGCACAGAGTTTCCGATGTTCTCAGAAGGCTTCTGCTTTTTGCTCGTGCTCAGTCTGATATATTTTTTCTTGCTCGAGAGAACACGTTTACATAAGAAAGAAAGAATAAGCATACAAACGGTAAATATAATTATTTTTTAAAATTATTCTTGTGTGAAAGTTTTGATTTAAATCGTCAAAAAACACCGGCCTGATTTTAATCACGATTAAAATCACGATTTAAATGTTGCTTTAAATCATCGTAATTTTTATTTTTCTGCTGTAAAACAAGCAAAAAATATGCGACGTCTACAAATCTCTGTGAAGCGAAATTAGAACAGAGCTCGTGAGGAGGAAGAGGGCCGGGTATACCCCTCCTTCTCCTCCATACTCTTCCCATCTTCTTTCCTTCCCCTCCCGTCCTCCTCCAGTCCTCCTCCACATCATTTTCTCTGCTCCTTCCCCTCAACTTCTTTCCTGCCCTTCCTCCTCCCCCTCCGCTTCACTCCTATTCTCCTCTCCTCCTCCTCTCCACTCCTTCTCCCTTCCTCCGCATCTTCCCCTTCTCATCCTCCTTCTTTTTCTTCTCCTCCTCTTCCATCCTCCTCTCCTCCGTACCCTTCCCTCCTCCTCCCCATACACTCCCCTCCTCCCACAATCTAACCGCTAAATTTAGCTGGAAATTGACGTCACATGACTTTGTGTCACGTCACGGGTGAGAAATTCAGTTTCCCCGCTAGATTTAGCGGGAAAATTGGTCACTTGACTACACACCAATTCAATCTCCCTTTAAATTTAGCAGGGAGGTTACGCCGACGCCGAGCAACGCGGAAACGGACGCCTGAGAGCTCCGCTCTGTAAATATGCGCGGGTACATAGAAAGCTCAGACATTCACTAAGTGTGAATAGAGGTGGTGCATCTTACCTTGCGAAACTTCAAGGCGTAGTTTTTTTTTTTTTCTGTATAAATAAGACCAGCAAACTTGCTAAAGTCAACGATGGGCGCATCTGCAGTCAACCTAGTTGCAGTTACCGAATTAGTCGGTCATATGAGATAAATTCGAAACTTCTCTAAACCACACTGACCATCATTTGCATAATTCTGTACATAAAACCTGCCACATGCCTAAAATATATATCGTTTACTAAACTTGGTCGTCAGAGTTAATTATATACTGCCCGAACTATAAAATCGTCTAGCATCCCTGGAAGCGGAAGTCGCTTAATTAAACAAAACTTCCATACCTAATATTGTATAAAACTGAACATCGTCTAAGTATTTTATGTTTTTCTCTTATTATGCTAAGTGATATTTCGTTTTAGTGCCATGTTGTCGTTGCTTGCCTTAAGAATGCACAATGGTTCGCCAAGATTCATAGTAGAAGCTTCTTTTCCTCGGTACCCTTTATGGCTCATGATGGAAATAAACAATGTTAGAAGTTCTAACGCTTCATGTGGCTATAGCAGAAGGGGACTCTTCCGAGTTGAACAACATACGTTTATGCTTTCCTTTCCGACTAGTGACACTGAATATTCTATGCATAAGATTCAAACACATCAGGCCATCTTTGTGCTTAAAATCATAGTTGCCTGTTATCAAAAGATATCTGGAATCGCAGAAATGTTTGTTCTGTTTTCATATAGTATTAGAAGAGATCGCCAAAGAACAAAGCAAGGTCACCCGAGCTTTTTTTAAACTTTAGATAAAGCTCGCGTTTTCAATTTTCAGCAAACGCCAATCGCGTCCGATCTGCACTGAATAGCAAACTGACGGCGCTCACACAAAAATCGGGGAATAGAGAGCCGATACTCTAGGCACACCTACATTTGGTGCTCGAGTGCTGATGATAAGCGATAATTTTGTACCCAACTGAATTTTTCCTCTGTCGTTTGTTTCACAGGCTCGTACCCGGGCGATCACCGGGTCATATACGTCGACGTTTCCAACTCTACGGCCGTCGATGTTCTCTTCGAAGAGATTGCCACTTATTTTCCGGAAAGAATGATCAGCGTCGTGGTCAACAGTGCCGGCATCGTGGAAGCTGCAGCGCCGATTCAGGACATGAACGATACCCAATTTGACAACACGCTGGCCACGAACCTAAGGGTACGTCCGATGAGACCAATTAACCGTGCTGCAAGCAGCTCGAAATGAGTATTGATTTGTCCGTTCCCCGGCATAGATACCTATTAAAAATAAATAAATTAGGCAGGGGATCTGCTAAACACCAATATCCTCAAAATAACGAGTATTAAAGAAGGACGCCTAAGTACTGACAGAACACAATGTCGAGGACACCTCCATAGTGAACAAGATGTTAATGAAACCTAGATACCATCATGTGTTTGAGTATCTCCATTTGTTGTGTAGTTATTTTCAGCGAAAAAATTATATATCTTTGTGCTCGAGTTATGTCAGCACGCTTTGGTTTTTTATGCAAAAGCAAACGCAGGCTGTTATCTACTTTGACGTGAAATTGCTTTATTTTATTCACGCGACTGCTATTCTGGCGCTCGAATGTCCTCTTTTATTAACTAGCGAATTCTCGCCCTGTACTACACGCAACAGGCCGAGGTTAACGCTGTTTAAATCACTCTTCATACTCACGAAAGAGATTTCAAGATAAGTCCTATGGGTAAAATCTCTGGCCATAACAGAATTCATTTGTTTTGAATACGTTCAAGGGACCGTCGAATGACCCTCATATATGCATGAGGCAGTCTTAGTACCCCGCTCTTCTATGTTAACTGTTTCGTCTTGGGAAGCTAAATAGGCCATGTTTAAGTGTAAAGACACTTGTGCCATCACGCTGCTTCAGTTAATGTTACAATTTTTTTTTAAATTTCATCGGAAATAGCAGGACTGAGGAAATAATTTTTATGATCCGGAATTATCCAGATGTTGTTGGAATTTCTTCAGTCGGAAGTTGGTGCTTGTCCGTGTTGTACGTGTGTCTTTTCTCGTCAGGTTCAGTTCACGCCTTTTAACCTTTCAATCGATGCAAACCAACTGGGCCCAACTTAAGTTTTATTTTATCCAAATGGTTCGTAGCAGAGCAATACAATATTACCTGAGGTCCCTCACAGCTTACACGGAGCTCGGAAAGTCGCATTTCCGCATGGCAACTATCGCCCGATTACTCCCAATCTTTACTGGTCAAAAGAGTGAAGGCGGCGACAACTCAATTGGGGAATGGTGTCCATACTCTAAGCCTTCTTTAATTGTTGGGTCTAGCTCATCCACTCGCTCATTCTGCTGCATGCTTTATCTCTTGCAGGGAACTTTCCTGATCGACCGCGCGTCAGTGAAGCACATGCTGGCCAACAACGTCACGGACGGCGCAATCGTGAACATCGCGAGCATTATCGCAAAAACTGCCTTCCCGCGGTACACGCCCTATTCAGCATCCAAGGGTGGCGTCGTGTCCCTCACTAAGGCAGTGGCCCTGGAAGTGGCCAGCAGTGGCATTCGCGTCAACGCCATGCTGCCTGGTCCCGTCGACACGCCCCTGCTTGCAAGGCTACCGCCGGAAGTGAGCTCCGCGTTCATAGCAGCAACTGCCTTCAAGCGCAAGGCGCGTCCCGACGAAATATCCGAGACGATCGCGTTCATGTGCAGTCCGAAGAGTAGCTTCATGACAGGTGCGGCGGTCGATGTCACGGGTGGTATAATAGCATAATATTTACATCAATAAATTGGCTGCTGTAGTCGCGGAAGACGCAACAAGTTTCTGCACTGTTCCTTTCACACATGCTTTCTTTAAAATGGCTGCAAAATGGTAACATGTAGAGAAGGTATCACCAATGCATTTCCACATCGCGTCTTTTGGAGACACATCCTAGAATGATCAAATCGTGTCAACACGATTTTCAGTCACCAGTGCCCATCTTCGTCAGAAAAATCTTGTATAAGAATACCATCTGAGCAACATTGCAACCGAAATGCCATCATCTGGTTTCGGAGAAACATAAGAGTGATAAAAGATTACATTCTTAGTTTATGTCAAACTGCAGCAATTTAAACGTATTTGCCACACAGGTACTCTCCCTCCACACCCCCCCCCCCCTTTCCTCCCCTAATTTGTTAGAATAAATGTTCCAAGAACGACATGAAAACAGCAATGACAATCCCTGTAATCTTGGAGATTGCTCTTGATAAGAAACACCGAAGAGATTCGTACTTCTGTGACAGTGAAGGTTCTGAAATGCATCCATTATATCTTTATGGGGGTTTACATTACATCTGCTGCCAATAAAAACAAAACTGTGTCACGAAACGCCATTGGCGGTGGAAGAACTCGCTGAACCTCGAGCAGCCATCGGACACGTAAAAGAAAACACGCTCTTTTTGGCAAATTGTTTTCTCTTGTATTGTGCTCCTCAGACTCCCGCAAATGAAACATTGTAGCCCATATTTAAGATTGCCCGTCAATTAAAGAAAGCAGCTCTTCGTGCTTCAAACCAGGGACACCATATTGCGCTACTATTTATCATCGACACTGAAGTATGACCTGGAATATCCCAGCTGACAGAACGTGGACCAACCTGAGCCTTATTTAACACCTATTTGAGAGATTATGCGTGGGCCCACGCAGTATTCTTTTACATCCATCCAAAAGTTTTCATTTCGGTTACTGGAAAATTTTCTTGCGAAATAATAAGGGGATTCTTCAGCCAGGAAGCGTGAAAGGAAAGGTATAAACAAGAGAATCACGCACGAAATAAATTTATTGCAGACATCCTACATGCATAGTCAGACAGAATCAACAATAAACGAACTCCAGTTGAAGGAAGGAGCGGTATACAGAGGATTGGACATTTTCATGTTTTTCGTTTGCAAAAAGGGACACTGAGTTCCCAATAACATAACACACTTCTACAAACTATGCAGAAATAGCAAGACTTTCTTGCCAATGGTTGCATCCCAAAGTCGTCTTCAGCCATTGCGAAGATGAAAGCACCTAACCATGCAACCACAGTATCTACGTGACTACACACAAGGAAAAAAATATGCACGAATTACGCAGAGTTTTTGGCAAGGAAAGATTCTCTTGGGTTACTCTACAGAGCTCCATGTCACTTTGAAAATGAAGACGGAACCCCAAAGTTTAAGCAGATCCCACTTACGAAGAGCGAAATGCTGAGTAAGCGAAATAGAATGAACTAAGACGAAAATTAAAAGAGAACGAACACACTAGTCAAACCCCACGCTAAATATTTTAGCCATTTATATAATATTACGCAAGATCCCAAATTCATGTCAATGAGTACCCTGCAGTCCTAATTCAATATGTCCCGGTAGTCATCTGTGTACTTCATGGGTGTTAGTAACGCTGGTTCCAATTTATTGCTATAATATCGACACACCGAGGAAAAAGTATGTACAAGTCTATCCGTCAGCTGTATACACTTTGGACAGAGTGATGAAATGCAGTTAAATACAAAAAAAAAGCATTGCACGATAGTTTAGAGTAAGGCAATAATTGTGTTGAACCGTCAAAAGCCAGCAATACAAAACATTCGCGAAGGCGCGGAGGTTTAAGTGATGCGAAGAGTAAAAGCAACATAATGGCACGCCCGTTGCACGATACCGAGATAGCAGTACCCCTATGACGGCGGGTGAGGTAGTCTGTGAAACTCTATTGAAACATTACAGTAAAACGAAAACTTGTGGAACAATAAAAGTAGTTTATTACAATACATAGAAAATGCGAACTGCGGTGCTGTGACTCAGGCTGATGTCAAGATGGTAAGCAGGTTTGCACGGATGTGCCAAGCATATCTTCGGATATATACTTCAATTTCTCAGATCATTTAAAATTTGTGGCTGAGCAGGTTTGCCCCATTCCACGTATATAGACGGCGTGAGACAGTGAACCTCCGAGGCAGTGAACTCTGTATCCGTTGGTTATGGTCAGATGCGCACGAGCTTAACTGTAACACGTTCTAAGCGACTACCACACCCAAGGCAGCTCGCCTCTTGTAATGTTACACAAGTCGTAATTAATCTAGGTGCTTTGCCTTTTGCAGCACCTTGATGAAGCCACATCATTTGACAATACACGTACATTGTGTTAAATGAAACGACACAACACTTTTTACGGCACTGCAGAAAGGAAAGCAATCCAGATTGATGAAGATTTGTGTGGCACAAGCCAATGCAGCCTCGGGTGCAAAATTGGCTTATGATGTAGTGCAAACTAGCCTAACTGTGCTACATCAGCCCAATTCACTCTGTGAAGATATCAATTGCTCTACCTTGAAACACAGGTCACGTGGCATAGTCCTAAAAATGCGAGTCCAATAAACCTCAGTATCCTCTGAACCTTCTTTGTATACTCAACGTGAACAACCCTATATGTATCAATAAGGCTCGCGCTCTCTGACAGGAGCGAGGAGAGCGTGAAGAGGAAGGCATTTACCAACCACGATAATACCGGTCCGTCTAACGCCTTTCCCAGATACGGAGGTAGAGGAATCTTGTTTTGGGGGAAACATAAACAGATAGCGGGAACAAATTTAATACAACCATTACAGTGCTACGTATTTTGGATGTAATCTTTTAATGCTCCTGTTAAATTCCCGGCAAGTTTGATGATATTTACCGGCTATCTTTTTTTTTTCTTTTGTATTGATATTTATTTTGTGTTTTCAAGTTCAAAAAAATTGATGCATTGAAAGATTTTTTTATTATTCTCAGAGTGTTCCTGGTGGTGTTCTGTTGGTTTGAAATCTTAATGACAGTGCTCACTCTATAACAGAAAGTGACGCATGTTGTAGAAGTCTATGGTTTTGATTTGGTTAATTTTGTATCAAAGGAAATCGCTCGCCAGCCCAAGGAGTACTCGTATAGTTTGGCTGGAGACGGATCTCTATTTGTCTACTGCCGGGCGTCTAGCGGGGTCTTCACCATCTCGCTCTGGATCCATTTTTCTTCTGTGTTTCGTTTTCGTTTCGGCAACGTTTGGGTGGCTGCGCGCCCCTCAGGGCCCGTCGGGTTTCGGCCCAGAGGGCGAAACGAGGTGTCTGACATTGGCGACAACTGGCCGAACGCCGGCCCGGAGGCAAAGAGGTCATCGCCCTGAAAAGCTTGGTTTCAGGCGGAGGAGGACGGATCTTGTTGTGAGACTAGAACCAGAGTCTTTACACCAGCCCAATGAACCTCTTTTAACGTAATTCTGTTTTGCGCATATGGTTGTACATGAATGTTGTTTTGGCATTCAATGAACTATGCCCAAGTTCGTCGCAACGTTGTGAGGTGATCGAAAAATAATGGGACACCAATGCGAGACCTTCCGAGTTCAAACCTTTAGACCGTATTTTTGGATAAACAGCATGCACATTACAGGAGGCTCTGGCACGGACTAGACAATAAGTAATGCGGATTCTTGGGCGAGTTGGCACTGAAACTTTGAGAACATAATAGTGCTTCACGACAGGGACGAGAGTAGGAACGAGACAACGCCATGCTCTAACTTCAACTGGTTTAATTGTAAAAAAAAAAGGGTATAAACACTCCGCATCATCGCGCCATTCAGCCACTCCGATGCCACGCCGATTCTCGCAAGAACTGTGTCTCTTTGTCGCCCAAATCGATCGACGCCACGCTGACACATCGATCCCCTCAGTTTCTTTTATCAGGTCTGCCTCTATAATTTCCCTTACCGTCTTATCTCTGTTTTCTCACAACAGTGCACAAATTAAATTCACGTTTGCACCCACAGTCGTGGTAGTGCATTGACAAATGACCGTCACGCTCTCCGCTCACTTTTTGGTTGTGTTCGCGCAATCTTTCATTTAGACATCTTCCCGTCTTTCCCATGTACTTTTTGCCGCACGTCAGAGGGTTCTGATAGAGAACTCCTTCTGCGCATTCTACAAACGGGCTGCGATGCTTTTTCACGCAGCCAACCGGTGGTTTGCGTTAAGGGACGGCAGTTTCCACAACTTAGTAAGTTTTTGCGGTTCAGAAAAAAAAAAAACACCCGAGAATTTACTCGGTTTGGTATCTTTCTGAGATTGTGTGCGGTTTTGTGCATGCAAGGCACAACCGCCACCCTTCGTTTCTTTTGGGCCATATCTTGATTTGGCTCGCTACTACTCGTAGCTTTATTAAACCTTTTGAGCAACCGACTCCAGGAGCGCTCCAAGAAAACGGGCATCCACCAAACGTTCCGACTGCTTCTTCAGACCTAAAGGCATCGCATGATAACACGACCTTCCTTTAAAATCATTCAGCTTCAATTTCGAGCGATATATTTTTAGCCCATCATGACAGAGTTCTGTCGGAACGCCTGAATGACTTCGAGGGTAGTAAGGTTTTTAGATTTATCGACGATCATTTAGTTTTTCTTCGCCATGATGTTTCTCACTTCCCCTCAGTGGTGAACAACCTTTCTACAGTTTTTTTAGAACGTCCTAGGTACCCTCAAGCTTATGCACCAGGTACCTGATGACAACGTCACACAGATTTAGATGTCAGGCTCACACTTTCGGAGCAACATGTGAGCTGGAAATACCAACCGAGAGCAAATACGTTCCTGCTACCGTTCAGTTCATCCCATTTGAAACTCGTTAAGAGAGGAATTGTAAATTTGTGCTTTGTGAACGCCAGTAAAAGGTCGGGTCATCATGCGATACATTTAGATGATCAATATATGATCAATATACTGTTTTGACG